ATGGTGGAGTGACAATGGTACTGGTAGAACTTTCTCCTACTCTTTCCCTGATCACATGTACCTTTTAAATTTCACTTACTATCGACTGATCTATTCAGTACCTTGGCATAATTAATCTACAAATCAATCCTATCAAACTTTGGTATTTTCAAAAAGGTCAGTGTCTTATTTGTTCTGCCTCCTGGAAGGTTCCTCTAGCAGTTTCAGTCCCCCTATGTCTCCTAAAAATCAGTCAGCCTCCAGTCAAGTTTGTATATTCATTGTACATTCATTATTCAATATTCATTGCACACTACTACCTTCACAGTTAGCTTTCATCAAAATCATTGCTCTTCTGGAGAGTACCCTTAGGCTTAAGATTCTCCATGTTATGTTACAGATAAAGTCAATTCCTTTCATACATAAAGAGCTATGTATTTTATAGTTTGTTTATCCTCTTGGTAAATCTCTAAGCAAAGACTTTGGAACTGATGGTGAAGACAATGGAAAGTTTCTTTTTGAATAACATCTCTTTTATAGGATTTGAGTTCTCAGTGAAGGGGGGAAATTGCCTGAGGTTTTTCTAAACTTGTGCCTTCCTGGCACAGAACCACTGCTTTATGAACTCATACAAGGGCAGAAAGTATCCCAGAATTCTCAGCAAGACATCTTCAGTATAGAGTCGCTATTTCACAAGGGGAGGTTGGGCAGGAGAATGAGTTCTCAACTAACTCATCAAGGACTTAGTCTCACCAATGGGAAGCTGGGATAAGGATGAGAAATGCTGAATCCATGCTCCTTTGGTGAAGAAACCTTTCTGACTGGGAGTTGGAAGAGAAGGAATCCTGTGTTTGGGGCCATATCATAATGGAATGGAAGCTCACTGAGGTTGGAGGTGGGAGGGACAGTCTTGATTCAAAGAACACACTCATTATTTTAAACACATTTTTACAGATTTCTTGAACAGCTGTTTTCTTCATATACTCTCTCTTCAGGACCATTTCCAAAAGCTTTCAATGATTGCCATTGTGGTTTTTTTTTTTTTTTAAGATTGATTTATTTATTCATATAGAACTGGGATACAGGCCAGGGATGCGGAGGATGATAGGATTTACCAGAGACAGAGCGGGGAACAGAACAGGCTGACTGAGAAGTACCCTGCTGAGGGGAGCAGCAGGCAGGTCAGGAGAGGTCTGCCACGCCATGTGGTCACCTCCGGGGTAGGCGGGGATCGAGCTCATGCAGAAGTGGCTTAAGCTTCTTAGTACAGTGCTTTAACCGGCTGCGCCACCAGGGAGGGCCCTGCTATTGGGTTTTTAAGTATATGTTTCATTATTTACAGAGGATCAACTCAGTGGGGCTTCTCATGTTACCATGAAAGAAGTCAATCTTCCATTATTGCTCTTTTTTAAATCAAGTATTGTTGATTTTCCATTCATTTACCAAAGTATATACTTTGGGGTAGTACACCTTCACACCTCTACATGTGTGCATGTTTCATTAGGCCTCCACCAAATTCCAATGCCAATATTCTCTCACTTTATCCCCCTCTTTCCCCTCTTCCTTCTCTCCCACCACTTCCTCTCTTGTAATCACTGTATTTTTCAGTCTAAGAGTTATTCTTGCTATATTTTGCCATTTTGTTTTCTTTGGTTATTTATATTCCACAAATGAGTAAAACATTCCAGTAATTTTCTTTCACTTTCTGACTAATTTCACATGCTCATTCACCTCAAGATTCATCCATACCATCCCCAAAAGGCACTATTTGATCTTTTTCAACAGCTGATTATTATTCCATTGAATATGTATACCACAATTTCTTTATCCATTCATCTCTCAATGGACATTTAGGTTGATTTCATGTTTTAGCTGTTGTGAATAATGCTATAGAAATATAGGGGTGCATAAATCTTTTCATATTACTGAAAAATGTACCTAGATGTGGTATTTCTGGGTCATCTGGTATTTCCATTTTTAGTATTTTCCTAAAAGCCTGACACATAAAGGTTTATTAATCCTCTCATGAAAAATCTTCACAATCACCACAGACTTTTTATTCCCTTTTTTATTTTTGCCAGCACCTATATGCCGTTGTAGTACCCCTGATTTCTTTCATTCTGTTTCTACATTCCTTTTGCTGTTTTTGTGAGGTCTTCTTTCTCACACAGGCCATGTCTTAAAAGTCTATGTTTGGGTTCCTTTTGTTTGTTTGTTTGTTTGTTTGTTTGTTTCTGTTAGCTTAGAATTTTATTTATGAACATAAATGGCAACATGAGAATGAGACATTCTAACACTTCTATGTTATTCCTAGGTGAAAAGATTTCAGATTAGTCTGCTTTCAGTATGGTATCACCCAAGTTAAAAAGAGGCCTAGTATAGCTTTTCCTGAAGAAGCAAGTCAATTTGCTACTTTCAGTAATGACTTCTCTGCCATTTTTTTTCTGCAAAAATATTGCTTTACTTTATGGAGTTTTCAATGTTTACCTGTTACTAATTAAACAGGCAGAGTATGGAATATTCTACTTATTTCCTGATGAGTTCTTCATATTTTCTGGCTTTTGAAAGTTTTCCTTCCACAATTCTTTTATGACTATATGCCCTAAAAATGTAGGCAGTACACCCCTGAAAATCAACCTCAGAGATGTATTTGGAAACTCAACTGCTATGGAAAAGGAAGCAAAAGCAAAGATAAACAAGTGGGACCACTCAAATTTTAAAATGCCTTTGAACAACGAATAAAACCATCACAAAAACAAAAAGGAGATTGATAGAGAAGATATCTGCACATCACACTTCTGACAAGAGATTAATATCCAACATATATAAAATATATATAAAAACTCATATAGGGCCCCTCTGGTGGCACAGCCGGTTATAGTACAGCACTAAGAAGCTAAAGCCACTTCAAGCATGAGTTTGATCCCCTGCCTGGAGGTGACCTGACCCGCCCCCTGCTCCCCTTAGCAGTGTACTTCTTCAATCTGCCTGTTGGGCCCCCCACTCTATCTCTGGTGAATCCTCTCACTGCCCCTGCACCTCTGACCTATACCCCAGTTCTGTATGCATAAATAAATAAATCTTTAAAAAAAACCTCATATAACTGAACAAACCATGGGCAAAAGATCTAGTTAGTTCATTATTTAATTTTGCTGTTTTTCCACCATTCTCTCCCTCTGCTGAGATTTTGATTACATCTATGTTAGGCTTTTTTCCATAATGTCTCATATCACTTTTTTTTTTCTGTATGTTCTATCATTTTACCTCTCTGTTCCTCAGTCTAAATATTTCTGATGGTATATGTCAATTTGTTTCTCAATTTTGTGCAAATGACTATCAAATACATTACTGAATTCTTAATTAAGTTGTATGTTTCAATTACCAATTTCACTCCTGTGATTTTCTTTTGGTTTCCATATTTCTGATTTAATATTCCACCTTTTCATTTAATTTCATGAACATATTCACAACAGCTTTCACTGTATGTTCGATAATTCCAGTATCTGGGCATTTTCTGGGCTATTTTTATTGTTTGTTTTTATTAGATACTGTTAAACTCCTTTGTCTCTTTTTGTCTATCAATACATTTTGTATGAAAAATCATAGAAAAAAATTTGAGACTCTAGATGATACCTCTTCATACATAAGCAATTTACATTTGCTACTAATAGGCAGTTAGCACAGAAGCATCGCTTTTTTTTTTTTCTAGTAGGGAAATTGTTTCCTGGGAGACTCCTAGTGGGTCCTACTTCTCAAGTTTAGCATTCTATCCACACTTGTGGATTTGTCCTTCTAGGCATATTAAGTTCAGAGTGAGGAGGCTAAGAAGAGCTCCCTTATAAATGGATGCCTCCCCAACATTAATGTACATGGGAATCAACTGTAGAGCAGATTAAACTGAATATTCTGATTCAGCAGGGCTGGATGGGGAGCTGAGATTCTGCATTTCTAACTATCAGGTGATGCCAGTGTTCTTGGGTTAACAACCACTCTTTGAGTAGCATTGTTCTAAAAACCACAAGTGTGGATAGAATGCTAAACTTGAAAAGTAGGACCCACTAGGAGTCTCCCAGGAAACAATTTCCTCTAAGGAAAGAGGAAGCAAGAAGACAAGGCACTGACAGATGAGAATACCTTTGAACACTACTCAGATTTTATGCCAGTGCCCCATATCTGGATCTGGTGAAGACATTAGAGAGTACACAAAAACACATTGACAAGACAACAAACACCCTGTTAAAATATCGGAAATCCACTACTGGGTGAAGCATCATTGAGATGTTACCCACTTGGGTAAGTATAATCTAAAGCAAGGGAAAGGATTTTAGCTACACTTCTATGGGAGATGTGGGTGGGGCAGGTTTCGGCTCACTGCGGGCTCCAGGAAAATCATTCCAGCTTTGTCAATGGAGGACCCTGCCCAACAGCAGCAGTCAGTCACAGTAATGAGAAGTAGCACAGTGCCCAGCAGACATGGAAGTACCCACAGCACCCACCTTAAGCTTCCTGGACTTATTCCTGAGCACCGGTGAGATGTACCTCAACCGTCTTAAAAGTTTCTGATGGGGTCCTGGTCCTGCTGATGTGGCAGGGAAAGGAGAAGCCAGATCAACATAGCTCACACTCAGAACCTTATCCAATTCCCTCTGCAAAACTGAAGCAAGTATCTCCCCACTTCAAGACTGTTCTTGACAGAAGTGGACCAGTTATAACCACCAGTTGGACTTCTCCAGCTACATGCCCCAGAGGTAATGTGAGTTAAGTTCATTTTAAGTTTTGACAAGGGTTATAACTGTCTCCACTGCCTTCATAAAACTCACTAAATAGTTTCTGAATGTGTTCTCATCTTTTATATTTTATGTCCTTATGAGAAAAGTAATCTGTGTTCATTTCGAAAAAATACAGACGAGTAGAAGGAAAACAAAAATAAGTCACTCAGTCTCACAACTCAGAAAACCACTGATAATCTTTCAGTCAACATATTTTTCTATTTCCTCTGTGCATAGGCATGCTATATAAATCTGTTTTTACAAATGTAGACTGATTCTGTATATTATAAACTGCTTTATTTTTCCAAGAAACATAACATTTTGCAGTGCACATGTGTGAAAACCCTACTGCTGAGACAGACACCCCTCTAGTTGGGCCAAAAGTCTAGTGATAAGAAGAGGGACAGCTAAAGCAAAGGACTAGCACAAAGTCTAAAGCACAGGGCCTGGCAAATGCCAACCAGGGGCACTACACGAAAGGAATGTCCTCACAGCCCCTTTGCTGGGGCCCAGCAGCCACCCTGGGTTTCCTCAGGCCCCTGCAAAGTTGTTTGCATCCACATAAACCACCCTAATTGCTGTCTGGTTTTCCTCACCTCATCCTCCACCCTAGCCATCTCATCAAATTCTCTTATCATCTCCTCATTGCTCAAATGCATGTCGTGTATGGCCTCCTTGTGTTCCCTCAGGCACTGAGCTAGCCCCTTGTTGGTTTTTCTTTTGGCTTTCCTGGGGATTTCACCCTCAGCCGGGCGCTTTCCTACAGCCCTTGGCTCACTGGCTGGCTTGCCTTCTTGCTTTGGATTTTCCTTGACCTTGGGGTCCTCCTCACTGTCTGGCTTTCCTTCTTCCTTTGGCTCTCCCTGGCTCTCTGGCTCTCCCTGGCTCTCTAGCTTCCCCTCTTCTTTTGGTTTTCCCTCAACCTCTGGCGTTTCTTCTTTTGGCAGAGCCTCGCTCTCTAGCTTTCCCTTAGCCCCTAGCGTTGCCTCAGCTTCTGTCTTTCCCTCATTTTCTAACTTTTCCTTGTCTTCCAGCGTATAAGCTACTTCCGGCCTTCCCGCATCCTGGGGCCTCTCTTCATTTTCCATCGTTCCTTGGCTCTCGGGCTCTCCTTCATTTTCACTGCAGAGCTTTTCCATATTGAAACTTCTCCTCTTTTTCCTGTTCTGGGCCTGGCGGGGTGGGAGATGGGGTGGGAGGGAGAGGGGACAAAGGGAATACAGGGAGATTGAGGGTTTGAGGCTGGAAAGCAGGTCCCCACAGCAATCTCCTCTCTCCCCTGTCAGGGTTTCCCTGGCCTGACCCTCCAAATGTGCCTTCTGCCCACCCCAGACCCCACTATTTTTCACACACGTGAGCCAACCCTTTCCCTAGCAGGCCCTGCAGCTTCTGTACCATCCTTCTGCGTGGTGGGAGTATGTGGTTTGGGGGTGAGCAGTGGGGCCCTCCAATTCTGCCCAAGCCCTGCCCTCCACACTCCCACCCTCCCCCCTCTCTGACCAGGGGCCCCACCCCCTGCACCGACCTGCAGGGATTCTGGACAGCTTGCTAGTCCTTCTAGCCTTGCAGAGTGCTGGAAGCAGACAGGCAGACCTACAGGAGACAGGGGGCAGGGGCTGTGCTCTCAGAGAACTGGGGTCCCTTTGCAGAACCTGGTGCTCTTCACCAGACACCTCGCCCCCACCTCCCCAGCACCCAGCCGCCATTACTTCTCAGGCCTCTGGAGCCAGGCCAGGTTGCTCTCCAACCACTGGGGTCTGTGTCCCTCTTCTGTGCAGGCAATGCGCCTCAGCCCACCCCCTTTTCTTGGGGGCCAGCCTTTGCTCATAGGCACAGTGTGAGGGAGGTTCTTTCCAGAAGGTGTCTACGTTTCTCTGTCGCACTGCAGGGGCGCCCCCCATTTCAGGCTGGAAAATGGATAGGGGCCCAGAGGAGGGGGCTTCAAGGAGGCAGTAGGGCCCTTTTCGGGGGCCCTCCCTCCCCATCGGCACCACCCACGCCGGGGTTCCCTCCCCACTAGTGTCTGGGAGTCCTCGGCCCCTTCCCCGTTGTCCCCCATCCTGCTCCCGACCACCGCCACCCCTGCCCCGGGCGCGGGCAGCGCCCACCTTCACACTGACCTGCGGGGCCCGGGCAGGCCTGCGCCTCCTCAGGCTCGCCAAAGCCCGCTCGCCCCCGCCCGCCGCCCAGGCAGCTCTGGGAGCCGGTTGCGCGCAGGGGACGCGAGCGGACCAAGCCGGACTGGACCTCAGGCAGGCGGGCGGGCGCGGGGGCTGCTGCCCACGTCTGCGCCCAGCCGGCCACGTGAGCACCGCGTCACCCTAGCTCGGCCCCCCCCAACCCCCACCGCAACCCCCGCCCTGGCCCTGGTCGTCTCAGGGTCCCGGAGGGACCAGGCCACTGCGGGGCCGGAGGACCGAGGAGCAAATGGGGAGTCGCCGAGAGGGGGGCGGGGCGGGCTTCCAGCAGGCGCATCAGTTCCTCGCACAGCATCCCCTGGGGTGCCCAGTGTCTCAGGTGTGGTGGCTGAGCACAGGCTGGTACACCGCTTGGGCCCTTGCGCTGAGCAACTGAGCCCCACAGCTGCTTTCCAGACTGGCTCTGGGAAGCTCTGGGAACTCCAGGATCTGCGGGAGCTGAGCTTGAGTGTTGGTCCTGGGCCTTCTCCTCAGACAGCTGGTTCACTCTCCCTGGGTGATGTCTGTGCCTTTCCCTCTAGGCACAGATAAGTCTCAAAACTACCTCTCTGCAGTGTTCCTTCCCGGGAAACTCAGACCCTTTTGCCCACTGTGTATTGTCCATCACTCCTCAAATATCCCTTCGGCACCTTAAAATCCAGATTCCCCAAACTGGGGAATCTTTCTTCTGCTCTTCCTCCTCCCCCTCTGTCCATCCTTGAAGCCCGCATTCCAACACTTGACCTGTTCTCATTTAATGTCAGACAGCTAAAAAAAAAAGTATTAAAACTTTAAAAAAATATGGACCACAGGTGCACAAATTCATTATAACTCTTGGTTAATAACACATTCCTTTAATCGACCCCAGTTTGTCATACTTTCTTCCCTTCCCTTTCTTTTCAGTCATTTGTAAACCACCACCCAACTCGAGAACTAGGTAATTTACCAGTTAATATTTTCTATATTGTAATCACACACAGAAACACACAAACATATACACACACAGTATGTGTATGAGTATATAAATATGGTCAAACACCTTTTCTATTTTGATTTGCAAAATACTCCACCTTGTTTGTAATTATGGATTATATATGTGACACAACTTCTCACAACTACACTCATATTTCTGCCCTATGTGGTCCTTAATTTCATAAACTACTTATCCTTCAACAGTGTGCTACTCCTCCAAAATGTGTATTCACACTATTACCACATAAATAATTTAATTCTTAATGATGCATTGTTTTAAACTTAATTCACAATGCCATTCATAGCAATGCTGCATTTTATCAGTAAAAACTTCCCAAAATTATTATGATTGTTTTTTACATAAATTTGATGAGTAACAGTACATCGCTGTTGGTATTAACCAATTTTCTGTTTTTTTTTTTTAAAGATTTGTTTTTATTTATGCATACAGAACTGGGGCACAGGCCAGAGGTGCAGGGGCGGTGAGAGGATTCACCAGAGACAGAGTGGGGAGCAGAATAGGCAGACTGACAAAGTACACTGCTGAGGGGAGCAGCAGGCAAGACAGGAGAGGTCTGCCACGCCATGAGGATCACCTCCGGGGCTGGAGATTGAACTCGCACTGAAGCGGCTGCTGCCAGATTGCAGTGCTGAGTCCTAACCCATTGTGCCACCAATCTTCTGTTTTAATCATCTAGATGATGCTGGTTTTAAACTCTTATCAGTAATCACTTCTGGAGTTTTAGAATTCAAAATATGTACAGTTGACTTAGAAGAAAACATATTTGATCTTTTATCTCTTCAGAGAGTGGGAAGCCATCATGAACTCTGTAACTATATGGACTTAACTGACATATGCAATTGACACACAATTACAAGCACTATTTTCAGCAGGTCTTTTTTTAATTTAAATACTTATTGAGCATTTACTATATTTCACCAATGTAGGCATTCAGCAGGTTTTTAAATGTTGGTTCATCTAAAGTCAATAATATCACTTCAGTCCTCTTGGTGTACAGTCAATGCCAGCACACATTTTGTGTGAGTGAAATGTTTATCATCCAGTTACTTAGGAAAAAAGGTTGTTGCTTTTCCAATACCGGATGGTTTCGCTCATAGCAGGAGTATAATGGACAAGGAGAGAAAATAAAAAGAATAATGAACAGCCATATACCAGAGACATTTTGTGGGGGTGGAGTGGGGAATGGTGGGGGGAGGGAAGTGCACGGGACTATGGTGATGGCACACAGGTGACTTGGTGATGGGAAACCCACCGGGATTACAACCAGATGGGAAAAAAAGTACAAAATGATGTAAAAATAAACTATTATAAAAAAATTGTTGCTTTTCCATTCACTATGCACTTTCTGTTTCTTATTGAAAAATTAAATAATAAATACGGTCACAGATTTACACTATATAATAGAACACAAAATCACTGTACCAACAATGTTCATTTCCCACAGGAAGACAATTCAACCTTTATCTTCCTCATACACTCACTGAACTTATATTTTGCATGCCCTTAGCATGGGCCACATCCCAATTGGCTAATTGCATATAACCAATGCATGTAGCAGTCAAGTTTTTTCATTACCATTTAAGGCAGAAGGGTTCGCTCTCTATCCTCTCCTGCATGTTTTAACAGTGAGTCCCTTTAACAGAGAGCAGCCTGCATGTTTTCCCTGAAAGGGATATGTTGACTATGTTAATTATGAAAGGCATTTTGCAAATGTGATTAAGTTAAAGGTTTTGAGATAAGGGGCCTTTCCTGGTGGCACAAGGGGTCGAAGCATAGCACTGTGAAGCTACCGCAGCCACTGAAGCTAAAGATTCCAGACAAGGAGCTGGCCCACATGGTGCAGCAGACGTCTCCTGTCTCACCCACTGCTCCCCTCAGCAATATATTTCAGTACAACTGCCTGTTCTGCTCCCCACTCTGTTTCTGATGAATCCTCTCACCCCCCACATCTCTGTCCTGTACCCCAGTCCTTGTATGCATAAATATTTGTATAAATATTTTGAGATAAGGAGAATATACTGGATTTTGATCAGAGTGTCTGAGAACATAATAAAACTCTATAAATATTCATTGAAATAATGAATCTATGTATCAATAAAGCACTCCTATAACCAAACAGCAAAATGGACAAAAATTGTAAACAGTGCATGAAGAAGAGCAGGTGGTAAATAACTACAAGAAAAACTTTTAAGTAGCTGATAACTTAAATAATTCAAATTAAAGCATCTAACTGACATTGTATTAGCTAGCATCTGACAATTATTAAGTATATAAACAACTAAAAATGGGAAAAAACTTCACAGAAGAAAAATTAAAAACTTTATCTGTATATATGCTGAGACTCGAGACTAAATTTCACTAAAAAATCAAGGAAATGCAAACACACCTATTAGAAATAAATCTAAAGATTCTGATGACAACAGTAATAGAGGTGAGGAAATGAGAATTCTCATACATATACTTTTTGAGATAGCTTAAATTATTGAGTTAAGACCTAGCAAAATTGTCTTACATGTGTACAAAAGCAGGCTAGTAAGGGGATACTCACAGTAGCATTGCCTGAAATAGAAAACAACGAAGGATGAAATAAGCCTCTTTCCTATCTATATCTATTTAGACTATATGTATATATACACCTATATATGTATATAATTTCTGTTTTGAAATTTAAATCTTTATATGATTTATAATATTTTATATAACTTGCATTCTTTTCTGTATTAAGTTTATATATGTTGTATATGGTCTGCATATTTATAAATATGATATGTATATTTCTATTTATGGAAATATCTATAAAAAGAAATCACCGTGAATCTCACTCCTGCCTCACTCTCACCCACTACCTCAAAGATGTCCATGTTCATAGACAGTTGCATGTTCTCAGCACATTGTTTTGTAGGTGAATTATTATTGTGAGTCACAAATTTATATCCTTTCAAAATGTTAGAATCACATTATCATTATTGTTCTGCAACTTGCCTTTTTTCATCTAAAATAGTATAGACTCAAATTTTTGTTTCCATTTCACTAGATAAACCTTTAAAAATATTTATTTTATTTATAGTGCATACAAGAACTGGGAGGTAGGCCAGAGTTGCTGGCGGAGGAGAGAAGGTGAATGTTCACCAAAGACAGAGTGGGGGTGGGGAGAGTAGGCAGATGTGCAGATGTACTGAAACACAAGACAGGAGCGGTCTGCTGTACCATGTAGGTCAGCTCCCTGGCCAGAGAGTGACCTCACGCTGCAGTGGCTGCCTATGGCTGAATAGCAATGAGGCTGAACCTTTCCTCCTTGCCCTCCGTCATCACCAGGGTCTGTTGTTGAACAAGCATCTATGAGGAAGCGTGAAATGACCAGTTTTTAAGCCCTGATGGCCCATCCATCATCTACATGTTACACTGGGGGAGTGCAGTGTTTGTTAACCTTTTTTCATTATTGTCCAATTTATGGAGTCTTTTTAGGCATTCCCCCTGGGCCTGACCTTTGCCTTAACCACACAATGAGAAGTATTTAATACTGGAAATATCTTGTGTATTTGTTTATGCACCTTGGTTTTTCCAAGGGTTACAAACCATAGTACCACCTAAAATGCTTTACTACCAAGAAACAATTTTTAGTCTTGTGATGTTGATTTTACCAGGAATTCATGTATATTGTATTGAGGACAAGAACTGGGACCTCCCTTCTACCTCTAATTTCATGTATGATTCTGGAGTACTTGTTTAGCCACTTAACCTGCCCTTGGTTGTCGCTAAAGAGTATCCATGATCCTCCCTCCAGAAATTCTGTGAGAGGAAAATGCAAAATCCTGTACAGAGTCTATGGGATATACTAGGTCTTCCACAAACACAGTCTTGACCCATTTCCCTCCTCCCTACCAGAGAAGAAATAATTTTAATCTAAACCAAACAGCATAATTGTCACAGAGACCAGTTGAAAAAGTAGTCATACATAAGAAATAGAATATACATACATTTACACATTGAGGTTTGGCGCCATTTCTATTTTGTGGGATGACATTTCTGAGGATTTAAGGCAAGCGAAGCTCAAACCATCTTTTGACGTTTCTAGATCATCCAGTTACATGATTATAGACAGGCTCA